GAAGTAAAGATATGTAGGCGAACCAACTTATATTCAATTTGTGAAGTAAAGATATGTAGGCTAACCAACTCATATTCAATTTGTGAAGTAAAGATATGTAGGCTAACGAAATCATGTTCAGTTTGTGAAGTAAAGATATGTAGGCGAACCAACTCATAATTAATTTGTGAAGTAAAGATATGTAGGCTAACAAACTCATGTAACATTGATGAAGTCGGGATATCTAGGCTAACCAACTCATGTTCAGTGTAAGTAGGCTATTCGTCTAAGGTATTAATATTGTTGTGTGTTGCCTCAGATAAATTCATTTGTTGATTTCAACTATTTATTTCACGTTGCTTTTGCGTTAACTGTTACACTAGGCGTAGCATAAAGATTCAAAGGTTGATAGCACCAATCATAGGGCTGTTAATATAATATATTTGGTTGATAGCACCAGTCACAGAACTGCCAGTAGAATATATTCGGTTGATAGCACCAGTCATAGAGCTGCTAGTAGAATCTATTTGGTTGATAGCACCAATCATAGGGCTGTTAGTAGAATATATTCGTTTAATAGCACCAGTCACAGAACTGCTAGTAGAATCTATTTGGTTCATAGCACCAATCATAAGGCTGCTGTTGGAAAGAAAGGTACATCATGTCTAAAGGTTTCAAATTTAAGACTCACAAAACAAGAACATATTCAAAGACAATGGCCTGGCTGTAGCTGTCAACCAGACATCGCTGCCAAAACATGTCTGTTGTCAGCTATTATTGTCATTTTATTGGCGGCAAGTCAACCAGCTTAAAGAGATGTCCCCAATGACCTCTTAGCCACCATAAACAGGTTGTCCACGGTCGAATGAATTTGAATGAAATTGACTACATTAATAATTATTTACTACATTCCTATTTATCTGACATTTCTAGTGTCAACAGTGCCAAACGGAAAACAAGAGCAGGTGATAAAACTTACATGAGTAAATAAAATTACTTTAGGCTGTTTATTAAAGTTCATTGGGTACACAAGTAAGAAGGTAAAATGTGTATGTGTCTATTTGTGAAACTATAAATCTACGATAAAGTTATAAATTGGTTGAAATTTATAAATGGAAATAAACGAAACAAACTTTGGAAAAACCTCAGAAACTTTGACGCAAGAAAATAATGAACATCTCGGCAAGAAGCCTTCTTCAGCAAATAAACAGAAGTAAACAAAATATAAATTAAAAGTAAACCTTTAGATTCAATAAAGTATCCGAAGGAAAACACCATTCCTATTTTCTTTGTGTGTACAGAAGTAACATTAAATGTATTTAAGAGCATGTCATACTGTGATGGAAACTAATTTCGCTTTGCTTGTAGCAATAAAGTAATATTACCACACTAACAATAAAGCAATATGACCACAGTATAATTATGAGATTCTTTCAGAGATGGGAAATATATCTCTACTTTCTACTATTATTTCTACCGGAGGTTTCTAAATTGCCAATTGTTCCAACAAAGCATGGTTGGGAACCTGTCTATTGAAGCTTTACGTTGGCAGATAGTTCCAACAAAGCATGTTTGGGAACCTGTCTATTGAAGCTTTACGTTGGCAGATAGTTCCAATAAAGCATGGTTGGGAACCTGTCTATTGAAGCTTTACGTTGGCAGATAGTTCCAACAAAGCATGGTTGGGAACCTGTCTATTGAAGCTTTACGTTGGCAGATAGTTCCAACAAAGCGTGGTTGGGAACCTGTCTATTGAAGCTTTACGTTGGCAGATAGTTCCAACAAAGCGTGGTTGGGAACCTGTCTATTGAAGCTTTACGTTGGCAGATAGTTCCAACAAAGCATGGTTGGGAACCTGACTATCGAAGCTTTACGTTGGCAGATAGTTCCAACAAAGCATGGTTGGGAACCTGTCTATTGAAGCTTTACGTTGGCAGATAGTTCAATGTAGATATAAATCAAAGCTTAACATAGAGCCTATCTTTCCTCATATGGCTGTCACATGACTGCAAGACCTCATTTGTCCTGTAAGAAACAACACATGACTTTCTGATTAAAAAAAGAAGATTAGAACTGGAACAGTCAGCTTAAGATAGACAAAGGTGTTCAATATCAGCTTAAGATAGACAAAGGTGTTCAATATCACCTTAAGATAGACCAAGGTGTTCAACATCAGCTTCAGTAATACCAATTTGTTCAACATCAGCTTCAGTTAGACCAAGTTGTTCAACACCAGGTTCAGATAGATCATATTGTTCAACATCAGCTTCAGATAAATCAAGTTGTTTAACATCAGCGTCAGATAGATCAAGTTGTTCAACATCAGGTTCAGATAGATCAGATTGTTCAACATCAGCTTCAGATATATTACGTTGTTCAACATCATCTTCAGTTAGATCAGGTTGTTCAACATCAGCTTCAGTTAGATCAAGTTGTTCAACACCAGCTTCAGATATGTTAAGTTGTTCAACATCAGCTTCAGATATATTAAGTTGTTCAACATCAGCTTCAGATATATTAAGTTGTTCAACATCAGCTTCAGATAGATTAAGTTTTTTAACACCAGCTTCTGATAGATTGAGTTGTTCAACATCAGCTTCAGATATATTAAGTTGTTCAACATCAGCTTCAGATAGATTAAGTTTTTTAACACCAGCTTCTGATAGATTGAGTTGTTCAACATCAGCTTCACATAGATTAAGTTGTTCAACATCAGCTTCAGATAGATTAAGTTGTTCAACATCAGCTTCAGAGAGATCAAGTTGTTCAACATAAGCTTCAGTTAGACCACGCTTTTGAACATTAGCTTCAGTTAGACCAAGTTGTTCAACATTTCTCTGTTGTATCATTACTTTCTCTTCATTAAATGAATTTATCTTTACTAATTCCTTTCCACATAATGTGCTAAAAACATTTAAAAACAATGTCTTCTGTATATTAAATTATTTAATTATTTTATAAGCCTGGTATACATTATTATTTATTAATAAAACTTGTGCATTAATTATGTTCTAGTATATTGTTAGTCATTAGAGTGTCAAGATGACCAAATCTATATTCGACCTGAGAGCACCCTTGACCTGACCAAACCTGGCACACGTATCCATCATTATCCAGAATGAAATATTGTGGGTTTTAAACTTTACAAAAATATTCCGTCTTTGGCTAGGGGCCCTAAATTATATTTTCCCCCTTACATGAGCTATATAAATTTTCAAACATAGCTATGAGATGGTTGGATTGATCTAGAATCTATACCATGGTTTCAAACACAGATATGGGATGGATGGATGGATCTAGAATCTAGACCATATTCAAAAACTGATGGGCGCTTAACTCATGACATCCACTCTTTCAGGGCCAGGGGGCCCAACTCATTGCTCTTATCTAGGTCAAGCTTTGTAGAAATACTTTTCGTAGTTAGTTTTAAAATATCGGTGGATTTAAAGCTAAAAATATCCAATCCAGGGCCGGTCTAGAAATTTTCAGAAAGTTCGATAATTTGAAAGGCTAGATCTATAGCGTTTTTATCCGAAGTGTAATGGGAATGTTACGAACTGGTCTTTGCACAAAGAGTTTGATGTCTTTGTTTAGCCTAGGGGTAATTAGTAACAATATCAATGTCTGTGGCGCTACAGCCGATTTAGGATTTTGGCCCTGCCTCACCACTTTCTTCCACTCAGACCTAACTAATGCTTTTCTTATCCATGCTTGGATTCCCAGTTGTTGTGGATCTGTTTCCACTTCATCCATCCATCTAAGCCTAGGTCTGCGCTTGAGCCATTTTCCTCTTGGGTTTTGTTGATGTACCCTCTTCACTCCTCTGATTTATATACTGAAAACATTTATAAAAAAACATAATGCTGTATGATGCGGTAGCCCCCACATCGCAACCCTTATTTACGCCACTGCGGGCATGTAATATTTCGACTGTCTAGTTGAGGCCCCCTCAGGTCTTCTTTCAGCACTTATGCTTTTGTAGAGCATGTTTGGTTGCGCAAGGTGTGTATGTTGTTTAAGAATAAATTATGTTAAATTTACATACAGTCAAAGTTCATCAATCAAATTTAGTAGGAGCTCGTTTGACTTTTCAATTTGCCATTGACGCATTGAATAAGTGTTTAATTTTTAATGTTAAAGGGGAACAATGTACTTCCTGAATATACGTGCATCCAGTGGGGTGTGGATGTATGTGTGGGTGTGTGTGTGGCAGAGGTGGCACAGGTACGAACCCACGTCGTCTCCATTCTCTTGTCTAAATCAACAAAGGAATTATTTGGTTCGAAAAACGTCTTTTAAGAAGATGCTATTAAATTATTAACATAACATAATGTTCTCCTCTCTGCTTCTACCAGCCGTTGGCTTAGAGTTAACATAACAGAATGTTCTTCTCTTTCCTTCTACCAGCCGTTGGTGTAGAGTTAACATTACAGAATGTTCTTCTCTTTGCTTCTACCAGCCGTTGGTGTAGAGTTAACATAACAGAATGTTCTTCTCTTTCCTTCTACCAGCCGTTGGTGTAGAGTTAACATAACAGAATGTTCTTCTCTTTCCTTCTACCAGCCGTTGGTGTAGAGTTAACATAACAGAATGTTCCTCTCTTTCCTTCTACCAGCCGTTGGTGTAGAGTTGTTCATCACATTCCTCCTAGTTTTGACCGTATTTGCGTCATGCGACCGGAAGAGGAAAGATTTGAATGGCTCGGGACCGCTCGCCATTGGTCTATCGGTCACCATGTGTCACCTGTGGGCGGTACGTAAGCTTTCGATTGGTTGGTTTTAACACTATGCTTTAGTACAAGAAATGATTTTTTCTAAATATTTCGTTTAATCACATTAAACGAGTTTGAGTTAAATATGATTTTTAGGAATGATGGATTACACAAATTATCATTAAACATTTTTGTATTGTGAATTTTGGTGCATTTAAAATTTAAAACATTTGATGCTTTTATTTCTAAGTGTATTGTAGAAATATAGTTAAGACTAGCTACAATTCCCTTATTTTCAATTAATTCCCAATCTTTCAATCACCAGATTGATTACACAGGAGCAAGCATGAACACAGCCCGGAGTTTCGGACCCGCACTGGTCATGGGGACTTGGGACAACCAATGGGTAAGCTACGAAGGTTTGCTGTTGGGTGTTCAGTTCAATGAATAATTATAAATTTTGTCATTCTCACATTTGGTACTTTCGTTAATTTTTCCCGTTCTCCACATTCCCACAGCTGTAATGTCCCGATAAGATGGTGTTAAATTGTGTTTACACATCCGAAATGTTATCCTACCTTTTATTGACGTTTTTCTTCTGGCTTCGGTGATTGATGGTTTTTTAATTCAGTGTCGACTTCCTCCTCATGATTCTCACTAGTGTTATTTATTTCTTAAGGCTTAGTTTCTAATGGGTATTTCCGAACTTCTATCAGCTGATGGTCTTATTTAATAACCTTTTAAACATACATAATTATCTCTGTATGGTCACTGCATCAACCAAAGACGACTGATCGCAAACATAATTATAACATATAACTGTTAGAACCATTTGATAATATATGCTGGGTACTACCTGAAATCTGCAAATAAGTTAGCGGTATTATTGCCCACATTTGTTATACTTGTGAAATACGTTGTCTGGCTGTCTGTCGGTCTGTCTGTCAGTCTGTCTGGCTGTCAGCCTGTTCAGTTCAACGCATTTGCTTCTTTAAGGTCCTATGAAGCTGATTCCCCCGCATTTTTAAAAAAGCTGCACATTTTATAAAGGCAGAACACAATAAAACTGTTTTATATATAGTTGCTAAGCGATAGATGTGAACGCCATGGTTTTGATGCTACGCCATACCATGAAAAATACTTCACGACAATTTGCACTTGAAACTTGCTTGATCTGGTCGATTAAACTTATGGGCAACTCTCACGCCAACCTTAACACTGTGTTTGTTAAACAGGTTTACTGGGTTGGTCCAATGGTGGGCGGTGTGGTTGCAGGGGTTCTGTACGAGCACCTGTTTGCAATGAACGCCAGTCTAACGAAGGCCAAGGCTTGCCTGCTGTCCAGTGACTATGACGACAACAAACACAATGCCAACAAAATCAAGGTGAGTTACGTCTGTGGGTTGTTTATGTCAATTTGACATTGTGTTGTTCAATTCATCACTCAAGTCAATTGTTAGGGAGGAATAAGAGGTGATGGGGAATGAGAGTTAATGGGTAATGAGAGGTAATGGGTAATGAGAGGTGATGGGGATTGAGACTTGATAGATGATGTGGAAAAAGATTTACAACTGGGAATCCGACCATGGAAAATAAAATAATTAGTTAGTTCTGAGTTGAAGGAAGGAGTGAGGCAGGCCATAGCCCCACATGGGTTGTGGCACCACGTAGATGGGTGAGATGATGGGAAATGTGATGTGATGGGGAACGAGAGGTGAGAGGGGATGAGAAGTGTTGGCGAACAAGAGGTGAGAGGGGATGAGAAGTGATGGGGAACAAGAGTTGGTGGGGAATTAATCTAGTTTACTTCTGGGAGGCAGACGTTCACGTGGGCTATTAAAAATAAAACCCCAGCGTATTATTGATTAAGCTCACCAAACTGTTCTCTACAGATCAGAGTGATCGAAGAAGATCCGAATGAAGAGGAACCCATGGAGGAGGAACACAATTTGACAACTGACGACACAACAAAGACTTTGACTTCAGATGAGAAAGTTTCATGAAGAAAAGTTATTTCTATATTGCTATGCCGAGTTGTATGTGCACTTTATACATTGCCACACTGTTGTATGTGCACTTCATATATTGCTACAATAGTGTATGTGCACTTTATACATTTCTACGCTGAATTGTATGTGCACTTCATAAACATTGCTACGCTGAGTTTTATGGGCACTTCATACTTTGCTATAATGATTTGTTTGTGCACTTCATACATTGCTACACTGATCTGCTTGTGCACTTCATACATTTCTACACTGTTGTAAATGCACTTCATACATTGCCACACTGTTGTTTGTGCACTTCATACATTGCTACACCGTTATATGTGCACTTCATACATTGGTACGCTGAATTGTATGTTCACTTTATACATTGCCACACCGTTGAATATGCACTTCATACATTGCTACCCTGTTGTATGTGCACTTCATAGATTGCTACACCGTTGTATGTGCACTTCATAAATTGATACCCTGTTGTATGTGCACTTCATAGATTGCTTTACTGCTTCTGTGCACTTCATAGATTGCTTTACTGCTTCTGTGCACTTCATAGATTGCTACACATTGCGGTTTGTGTTTCTGTGTGGTTCTTTGCTCCTCCAATCTAAAAATAGCCAAACAGAATAGAATTTTCATATCTAAAATTAAAAGATGTCTTTATGTATTATTTGTGTGATCGGTTTATACAATAAATGACATATGTATTTATTTAGTGTGTGCACATTAAGTGTTGCCAATATGTTTACAATGACAAAGAATAAAAATGCCACATAATAACTGAAAGCGTCTCATTGTCGATGCAAGTCAAGGGAAATTGTGTTTCTTTTATTAAAGTGCCACGTGAGTTTGACGGGGGCCACCGTGTCTGGAAATTTGATCGAAAGAAATTTCGTCGACGGAGAATTGATCGACGGAAATTCGATGAAACAGAAATTTGGTCGATTTTTTTTTTTCAGTTAACACGTTAATATTTTGCTTCATATTTCTTTTTGAACGCATTATTTTGTTTGACAAACACAGGATGGTGCGTTCAAAGAGATATATGACGAAAATTTTAACGTGTGAACTGACAAAAAGATTGAGCAAATTTCCGTTCGCTGAAATTAACCACAGAGCCATCGTGCTGGCCACCACAACCCCTGCGGCTGCAGGGGACCTCGGATATTTGATCAACAGTGAATGCAAAGTGGGGGAAGGACAAAAAAGGAGCAGGAGCCTGGCAAAGGCAAGGGACGGCTCTGCCGGAATTTTTATGTCATACAGATGATATATATATACCATTAAATAGTTTGGTGGTTTTGAATGTGTATTTAATATATTTTACGGTAAATGTCTTAAATACTTTGTTAATTTTCAACTAATAGTTTTAAAAAAAAACCACCAATCCTTCCAATAATGATTTCCATCACTGCCATCACTGTCAACTCCTACTGTCTTCTTGGATTGATTACATTCGTCAGTTCTTTCATACGTTGAAGCGTCGTACTATTCTCACTATCAATTAACAAACTCAACTCCTTTTCATAATAACTATAACTTTAATATCTAAGTAAATATAATAAACATCCTATCACTCCAAGGTTCCACTCAAGACTGCCGCACGACTAAAACATACGTCACAACACTGCATAGACAATACGTCACGACTCAGCATAAAAATACGTCATAAATACAATGGCGGGAAGAGCGTTCACTAACTATAATAGTCAAGCGCGGGAAAAGCGTTCAACAACTAATGAACATAATATTGAGTCGCAACAATTCCTAATGAACGCTCATACTCGACATATCCCCCCTCTTTCATTTCAGATTTTACTCAGGGAGTGAAATCGTCACCAGACATACAAAATTTACATCAATTACATCAAGAAGAACCCTTCAGCCATATGAATGGTCCTTATCAAAAAACATTATTTAGGTATCACTGAAAATCAAACAGATTTATGATATACTGCAATAAAATAAACAATCCATCGTACATAATTTTAAATGCAATTCAAGAGTTAAAAATTCATGTACCACAATAAAAATCAGACCATTAAAATTGAATGTCAACATTAATTTTCATTTTTCATACCAATAAAAATAATTATATTTGTATCTCAAAAATCCGGGCAAATACATCAATATCTTTAATGAAGTTGAAACTATAACTAAGTTAATCCAAATCATATCATCAAAAAGATGTATTTTTAAATAAAACCAATGGTCATCACAATAAAAACACAAAACTATCTAACATTATTACAGGTGAGAGATGCCTCACCACAATTTGAGCAGCCTTTATTTGCTCTTAAATAACACAGCTACAGATGGCGGGACATATCTTTTGTCCGTGGATTTCACAACTTTATGCTTCAACATGTTTATTATAATTATAATTATCTCTCTCTGTTCTTTTGACCCGTGGTCATAACTCATGTGAAATCTCAGTTTTGCAATACATATTTTTAAATTGTTACAAAATGAAAAACGAGTCTCATAAAAAAGAAATTCAAACAAAGCAGGAACTTCAAAGCAATCATGGCAAAAGTTCATTTTAACAGATTCATTTTTTTTAACAATACAAACAAAAGCCTCACCTCCCAACTCATGGACCTGATAACTCACCTCCTCTTGAAAATCAAAAACAAGTGCACCTTTAGAGCTGGCAGTGCTCTCTTTAACACTTTCAACATTGGTTTCCAACTTAATGTTAGAGCACTCCTGGCTCTCAAAATCTGGACAACCTTCACTCACATTACTTGGGAATTTATTTTCATTACAGCTATCTGTAACAATATGTGAATTTGAGCAGCCCTGGCTCACATTTACAGGTGATTCATTATCATTACAACTATCCGTAACAATATGAAAATTTGAGCAGCCCTGGCTCACATTTACAGGTGATTCATTATCATTACAGCTATCCGTAACAATATGAAAATCTGAGCAGCCCTTGCTCATAACAACTTGTAATACATTTTCATTGCAGATCTCTGCAGTAACATCAAAACCTGAGCACACCTGGCTCACATTATCAACTAATTCATATTCATTACCAGTACGTATCTCTGTATCAACATTTGAGCAACCTTTGCTCACATTACACAGTGACTCATTTACATCACAATAATTATCAACAACAATTTTCTCTCCTTCCCCCACCTCAGGGATTACACTCACCTCATCAACTTCACAGAAAAAATCAACTTCAGGACCTACATTATCTGATGGCTCACCATGAGATACAACAAAAATCATGTCCTCAGACATTAGAACAGGGTTCTCTTTGATTTCAATGCCGCCCGTTTCCATAACAACCAATTCATTACCTGCTGTGGCGCTGGGACAATCCCCTACATACGTCCACCTAAGGTCATTGCCAATGACTTCCACCTTATTAAATTGTCGTCCCCTTTCTTCTTTACATTGGACTTCCTGGGATACACCAACTACTTCAACCTCGTTTTGACATGAATCTAAAGCTATATCTGTACCCTTTGCCACTGGGGGTATGTCAACACGGTCAACGGTGTCCTTTTTAACGTTAGCCGACGGATCAATTAACAAATCACTGTCATTTCCATTAAAAAAAATTGAGTCGTCAGCAAAGGCAATAATATCATTTTGTTTCTCAGTATCTTTAGCCATGAACCATGGTTGCGAGGCCGGCACTTGCCTGGGGTCAGGATCATGAGTATGTCCACCGTTATCCACATAGTTGTTTTCACTGACATTAATAGAAACTCTATTAAAATTTTTATAGGGATTCTCACAGTGAATGCTGGCAATGCCATAATATATTTCTTCCCCCTCACTCTCGTCATCGTCACTGTCGCTATAATAATATGCCTGTCTCTTTAAAATAATTTCCCGTCGTTCTGCCTCTAATTCCGCCAGTCTAATTTTTTCATCTAGTTTATCTAGTTCAA